TTGATTGTTTACCTTTTTACTCTGCACGTGGTTGCACATGTTGTGTGTGTGATGAGACAGTGTCTGCAAAGTGCATTTAACAGTCTCTCACTTGTAATCTGCACCAGTAAAAATTGTTTGAAGTTAGGAAACTGCAAAACACTAGTCCAGTGTGTTTTTCAGTTTTTTGAACATGAAATAATAAGTTGATTACTAGAGAAGGCATTTACCAGCTGCAACTCACTGAAGTTTAAAGCCGAGAAATAATACATATATAGTGAAGCATGACTTTATTGTGCTTTTTTATATATAAACAAACATAACTCCAACCATACTCAAAAGTTCTTTCTTATTTAATGTATGCAGCTATAAAGTGTTTGCAGGGTTCTGTACAGTTACCCACAGTCGTCTATATATAAAATGTTGGTTTTTTTTTACTGTGTCCTCTCTGAAGGGGCATCTTTGTTCCATAGTATCTGGTTTTCTGCCATTTTATCCCAGCCTCTTAATTGTGTTTGGAATGATCTCATAACGCATTTTCTCTTATTTTACCCAGTTTGTGTTCTGTACATTTTTATTTGACCCAATTAAACTTATAAAAATTTACTAGTGGTCTTGTTTCTTCTACCGTCTATTTTCCTTTATTATTCCCCTTTGTGCTTTCCTTTCTCAGGGAGCTGACGTTACAGACCCAGGCACCGAGACCGAGGAGAGTTTGGGGGCGTCTGACTCCACCCAGAGACCAGCGGATTCCCAGACACCCAGCTGTAAGATCCAGGAAACGCTGTTAAACGCACATACGTACATCCACCTCAAACGCATCACACGTTACTCACAAGCTGTCCCGCCATCCAATTAGTTATCTGACACTTGACACGATGACTGGGAAAGATGTAATATGTTGTCGTCTGTCTGAAAGGAAGAGTGGTGCAACTGTTTGCCAAAATAAAGGTCATTTTCATGAAGGCTACAAAAATGAAACACATGATTCAAATCCTTTGGGTGTGTGTTGTAAGCCTGTAAAGCTAATACATTGAAATGTATTTAATCCTAATTTAATGATAATTACACAAGAAATCTGCATAAAATTAAGGCAATGTGATTTAACTAATATTAGATTCTATAGACTGAATGGATGAAGGCTTGAGATGCACCCACTCTGTTCATTAAACACTTCCTATTTGATCAATTACTTGTTATATTAATCCATTACATATGTTTTAATATTAGTCCTGACTTTAAAATAAAACTGTTTTCTCATTTAAACATTTTTCATAATGTTATGAAATTGACCTTAAACATATTTGTGCTGTAAAAATCTAAGGACATTGTTCATTTAGGCTAGAATTTAGTCATAGGTACTAAGTGTTTTCATCGATCTTTGATACGTATTCTCGGTGTCTATATTTCTGATCCAGTGTCTGTACTCAAAGTTAGATTGACCTCTTTTAATCTGAACTCTCTTCCAGTCGAGGGCAGCGCGATGGAGGCGTTTTCCTCGGATCAACCTATCACAAGCTCTGGGGCACGCATGCCCCAGTCGCCACGGAGACCAACGCACCAGCTGCAGTCCCGCCTGAACATCCACCCTGCCCCATCATCAGAACTGGGACCACCTGCTCAGGTTCAGGTATGAAGGAAAAGTAATCTGTTGTGTAATAATGACAATAATGAGAATAATTACAATAAAGATCATGATTTTGTGATACTGTTGCATATTTATATATAATCCTGATGTGGCTTTCCAAATATAAACCAGACCAGTGAATTAATTGGTCAACAGAAAATTAATCACTTAAATCAGTTAGTTTTGGTTACCAAATAATCAAAATGACCAATATAGACACAACGATTAATTTAAAAAAAAAAAAGCACAATAAACAGTGTTTTCATGTCTGCGTTTCCAGCGCATGCCTGTTCGTCGTCAGTCAGTGGGGAGAGTCCCTCAGCTCACTCCCGGGGTGCCAGTAAGTGTTTCTCATCTATAGTCTGAGAACATCATCAGACGTCAGTGTGAAACTTTCACTGTGTTCGTATCCCAACGCTTCTCCACCATCTGTTCCTCTGCAGCAGCACTTGTTCGATGATGACGACAGGATGGTTCCCAACACTCCCACTCTGGTGGTACCGCACCGCGATGGATTCGACCAGGCCGTCCAGTAAGTCTCACAAACACAGACCTGGAGGTCAGATCTCCCAGGAGACATTTAATATATCATGGTTATTTATAACAAAAGCATGTTGATCTRATATGGGAACACATTTTATCACGTATTCACTGTTTTCAGAGATTCTTTAAAAAAAATTAATTACTTGTATTTAATATTTTGAAGTGTAATAAAGACAGTTTTTCATCTTTATTTTTCTATATATAAGACCACATTATTTTCTGAATGTATAAATTCAAATATTACGTTTTGTCAGATCTATATTTTGATAAAAAATTTAAGTCAGAGACGCTGAAATCCCTTGTAACCGTACTGCACTGAATGACTCTCGAGTGTTCATCAGTTCTCCCCAGGTGGCTGGCGTGCCTCGCTTTCGGTTCGGCCCTTCGGAGGACATGCCCCAGACCAGCTCGTCTTCTCACTCTGATCTGGGACAACTCGCATCACAAGGAGGTACTTCACCGCTCTGTGTTTTACTAAGTAAAACAACAACCATAAGATAACTGCAACAGAAGGAGGATGATACTTGTTTTTAAAGCAAAACTATTCTTGTCCTCAGGTCTTGGGATGTATGAAAGCCCCTTGTTCCTCGCAACTCATGAAGAAGAGTCTGGTGGACGCAGTGTTCCTACCACCCCACTACAAGTTGCAGCACCAGGTATCTGTCTGTTTGTCAGTCTGATATGAAGGGAGCAGCTCTTTCTGTGTCAACATACTCAGCATATTTCCATTGTCAGTGTCTGGAAACTGTCTGTAAACTATCAGGTGCCAAGAATCCAAATCATTGAGTGAATCCACATCTTGTTTTTATGTCCTTTGTTTCCAGTAACCGTCTTCTCAGAGGTGGCTCAGTCTGACAGCACTGAGCACGCCTCGCAGTCGGTTCCCATGGTGAGCACGTCCACACCAGGCCTGGTGGTGCCAGGAGCAGCCGGCACAGGGGAGGAGAGAGATGATGTCTTCCTGGAGCCTGACACTGATAGGTGAGACTCACTCCTCTTTACTGTCTGTCAGTCGTTTTATGTGTTTCCCAGCTGTTGGAGCTCATGGACACTGACCTGAGACTGCATCAAGTGTCTCTGCATTTCTCATCAGTTTCCTTTTCCACCTCCTCCAGCAGTAGCTGAATCAACTATAAAACTGAAATGATAAAAGATGCATTTTAGGATTGTTCTGTTCACAGATGATTTTGCAGATTGCATGACTACGTATTTTAATATATTACGTTTTTTTTCTGTTTTCTCTATTTGTTCCAGGTCCAGTGCTGAAGCGTCAGTGGATCAGGTCGTGTCTCAGGGAGACATGGAGGAGCAAAGTCAGCCGACTGACAAGGCCAGCCTCCCCTCCACCAGCCAGGAGCCCTCCTCCAGCTCCGCGGGTAACAGTGAAGCTTCATGACTGTGCAGCTTTTCCAGCTGTTTCATGTAATCTCCTTTTTTACGCAACTGTGATGCTCAGTTCTGATTTACACTTTGTTGTTTTTTTGTAGATACAAGCAGCGCTCCACCTAAACCCTCGAGACCTGGAACGAGCAGACAGCTGCAGCGTTGGCCGGAGAGCCGGGGGGGACGAATGAAGAGAGGAGGTAACACGTTTAAAAGTAAACACACCTGATTGGTTATTTAGGTATTAGGATCAAATCCTAACTATTTTTATCTAGAAACGTATCACAAATGAAAGAACATTTGATGATGTCAATGATATTCTGACTGAAAACAGTGGCAGTTTAACAAAACTGTGCCCAGACCTGTGTATTATTAGAGAATTGTGATTGGCCATAGTCGATCACAATTCAAAGAAAACAAAGTAGAGTAACAGAGTAAGAATTCCCAGGTTTACTACCGTGCAGCAAGTAAGCTAATGCAGCATTTCACACTTTGTCCACTCAGGGATCAGTTGTGTGGTTTGCAAAGCTCCGAGTATTCTGAGGTTGAGAAATGTTCGTCAGCTTGTCTTCAATGCCAATTAAGTCCTTTAGAATCAGCCAGCGTGTTGAAGTCAATGGTGTTTCACATCAAAATCCATCGTATGTACGCAGCTGCAGTGGCTCATATTTACCCATGAACCACAGGGTCTGTTGTTCAAGTGTGATGAGGGATCTTTGTAACATATCATTCCCCAGATTTCTCTGCCCTCAGTTCCTGTCATCTCTTCCCTTTCTTTCTAAGTAAAGTTAAAAATGGCTAAACCAATAATTAGAAAATCACCAGCTTGGTTGTATCACACTTGTTTGATTCTAACAAACAGGAGGCTTCCACGCAGACTTTTACAACAACACTGATCTTTATTGTAAGTCATTTATTAAGTCCAAGATTTCTTTGCAAATTATTGCATGACTGAAAAGTGGTACCAAAGTAATTTAAACTAATAATTTATGTCCCTCATCCTCTTATTTCTAATGCACATTAATTGCAGTGTACCATGTTTTTTTGTCTTTTATACACGTACTGTACATGTTCACAAAATTAATTTCCTGCATTGTGACTTGTGCAGACCAACACTAACCCAGTTTCATTTTACAAGTCATAGTCCTTAATACATGTTGGTGTGTTTTGACTTTTAATACATGTTCATTATGTTCATTACAATGCATATTTTATACAGACACTGTGCAGATTTTTTCATCACTGTTAGAGGCTGTGTTTGAAATAATATTTCATGTCAACAGGTCAGGCGTTTCCTTCTCGGGGAATACAAGGGAGACGATTCGCCAGGTGAAGCACTAATACGGAAACTTGACGAACACGACTGGGCGACGTGTCATTCCCTTCAGAAACATCCCACACCCGTGTTCAGATTCTCAACTCAGTCCTGATAATTGTTCACTTGTTCTCGAGCCATTTGTTTTTATGTTCTGTTTTTGTTTTAAATGTACTTGTAAAGTACCCTTTTATAATCACTCTCCATGCTGTTGCAGTGTGTTTTAAGAGGAACGTAATAAACGATAAGAAAATTGGTGAGAAAAAACAAACAATCTCTGCTTTTTCATATCTTTGGGCATTTGAACAAGTCGTTGCTCTTAGGTGACACGTTGGCCGTCGTCGCAGCGATGGCGGGACGTTCACCATCCAGCCTCAGGTTGTAGGATTTGGCTGCAAAAGAAGCAGAAGGATTATTAGATGAGTTCATTGTGAATTTTCAATTTATTTTGACATTTTGGATTTTGTTTTTTGAATTAGGTGCCAGTTTCAATTTCAAACTGTCCTGGCGTTTTCAGGACATCAAGTTGGACAGTTTCTGGCAACTGCAGTGCATTGAATTTTAAGAGCTGTGATGTGTCAGGAATGATGTAGAAGACTAGACTGTAAACTGGTCTGAATACATAACACTTTAAACTCAGTAAAATCTTTATAAGGAACTATAGGATATAGGGGACATTATTGAAACGGAACCTTTTTCTTGTGGTTTCTCCGTGATGACCTTTTAGAAGAATAGACACCTCCCTCAATGACCTTTACATCTGTCTAATCCTCCACTCCACCCTAACACACACCCACACACACATGGTTTCTGTTAGACGTCTCAGACATGATGTGAATGACGTTAAATGTCTTTCAGGCTGGAACGTGAAGGATGTTTTGTGGATTTGAAGGTGCACATTTAAATATATGTACTAGATTCTACTTCATTTCTGTAGATTGAGAGGCTTATATTGAAAGCAGTGGTTTTTTTAACAAGGGTGTGAGGTTTTAATCTGAAGTACACAGCATGAACTAACATTTCCCACTAGATTTTCCTTAATTATATTTTTTCACCCCTGTCTGTTTCTGTTGGTTGGTTTAAAAAAAAAACTAAAGAGAAGATGTTTTGCAACATTTAAACTGTTGATTATCTCAGAATTATTTTTGCTGGGAAAAAAGGCTTTATTTTATGAGCTATTTTATGCAGCTCCAAATAAGAATCTAGTGAATTTAAATGTGGTTTCATGAGAGGACTGCTGGACGTTGTATTCCTTCTTGGTCTTTGATGAGTTTACTGAACGTATCTGTTGAGATGAGACCTACTGGCTTTACTGGTGTTGACAGTATGTGTTGTCTTACATCTGGAGAAGACGTAGTATTTGTATCCTTCTGGTTCTCGGGTGTTGGGCACAGACACAGCTGCCGTGACGGTGGTGGGGAAACCTCTCCAGGACGTCCGGATGTTGATGACCGGGCCTAGAAGAGACACTGAAAACACAACGGTGTCAAACGAGGGAGGAAACCACAATGGGTGTCGTGTTGTTTTCCTCATCTCAAGTGTTTTAGCATTCAAAAAATTCTAACCCAGTAAATGTTGCACATGCCGTTTGTTATTTGCAACATGGACCTTTCTGCATTTTCACCCTGAAATACCAAGACTCAGTATTTCAGAGAACTACACATGCTGCGAAATGGTCGATATGTCAAATACTCAGCAAAACACCCAGTGAATCACCACAGTTACTGTTCTACAGAACCACATGAATGACAAGAGGAACAAGTCGTGAAACACGAGCTAAACATTTAAATATCCTCATGCATTTTTATACCTGCTTGTCGAGCCACCCGGTTGCGAACAGCGTACACGGTGTGCTGGGCTTTCCTGCCACATGATGGACTGGTACCTAACTGGTATGAGTATTTCTGGACCAGTCCCCCTTAAAGAACCAATCAAAATCTCAGAATCAATTTAATTAACAAGTATTTTGTACAAACAGAGTAAAGCTAGTGTTTTGGTTAAATTAAGATGAAACCTAGAGACGGTCAGCACCTCTCTTGAAGAAGTAGACGGACTCTCTCCTCCTCTGGTACTGAGGCACAGACAGAGCAGCAGTGATGTGGCCTCGCAGCCCGTCGAAGCCTGTTTCAATGACTTTAGGATACCCACGGTCCAAAACATCATTTTCATATCTCCAGTACTCGGATCCCTGCGACCATCATGAGCACAAACTGAAAAAAGTTAGACCTTGAAGATGTACCTTGAATTTGTAGCAGCAGAATAAATTTATGACGTTTATTAAATTCGTCAAATCCAGCAGAAGCACATGTTAACTCAGATTAAATGAGAAAAGTCGACCTTGAAAATGTATGTTTTGCCTTGACAGCTGCAGCGTGTGAACACAGTGTCGATGGGGGATGGGACACCCCACACTTGTGTGATGCCTCTGGCCGGACCTGGCTCCCTGTGTCTGTTCAGGAACCAGAAGTAGTGTCCTGTAAAAACAATAAATGAATAAAACACATTAACACATATAGTGGTTGTCCACCTTCATTTGATATCATGTAAATCAGGGGTCAGCAGTGAGGCTGTTGGCACTAACCTCTGAAAACCACCACCGTGCCGTTCCTCAGGGTGGTAACTGCTCCCACCGGGCGCCCGCTGCACAGGTTTGTATCGTTGCTGTCATCTGGAAAAAGGACACATTCATGAGGGAAACATCCGTTTGGATTGACGATAATAAGACAGAGAAATCGTGTGATGACAGACTGAGCTACTGAGTGTTCATTGTATTTGCTTTTGTCTCAGAAGCTTCATTTTTACCTGTTTTGTGAACTTTTTTTCCCTGCATTAAAATACATTCATTTTTAATTACAATAAAAAAAAATGACTGCAAATAGTTCTGTAAAAGGAACATCTTTGCATTTCTATTAAATTCATGTAAAACAAATTGTGGAAACAGATGTTTATACTTGAAGGATAGACACTGTATGTGAAGGAGGTGGTAGGTGTTGAATGATGAGAACATTTCTCACCTGCCTGGTAGTCTCCTGGATTGTCTATGGTCAGAGTTTGTGCAGCGTCCACTGGTTTAGTCTCTGGGTCTTTGGGGGGAGGGTTCACCACAGTCGGTTTAGCTGGTAATGGATTGTTTTGGGGTTGCTTGGTGGGTTTGGATGGTTGGGGTTGCTCTGTGGGTTTGGATGGTTGGGGTTGCTCTGT